TATATATATATATATATATATATATATATATATATATATATATATATATATATATATATATATATATATATATATGATTGCTGTCCTAGTGGGTGTAAAGTGGTACCTCACTGTGGTTTTGATTTGCATTTCCCTAATGCCTGTTGGCCATTTGTATATCTTTTTTATTTTTGGAGAAATGTCTATTCAAGTCCTTTGTCTATTTTTGAATTGGGTTGCTTGTCTTTTTGCTGTTGAGTTGTAATAGTTTGTTTTTTTTAAAGATTTTTTTATTGGGGAATTCGGGGGAGGGTAACAGCGTTGGGGAATCGGGGAAGGGGAACAGACTGGTAGACAAATTTCTGGGTTTTTTTGTTCTTCAGTCTAGTTGTGGAGGACATAGCTTCACTGGCCCATGTTGGTATGATCATTGTGCTATTCATGGGTGAGGCAATCGGTTGCCGGTCGTTGGTCGGCCGCTCACAGCGGCTCCCTGTAGCTCACGCTGGCTGCCAACCACTCACATAGCTCACGGCAGCCCACTGCAGCCCTGCTGCAGCCTATGCCTTCGCCAGCGACTCACAGCAGCCCAGCTCCAGGTCGAGCTGTTGTTCATCATCTTAGCTGTAGAGGGCGAGCGTCACTGGCCCTCAATGTAGGATCCGAACCACAGCCCTGCTGCTCAGAGCTGGTGTCCCAAGCCAGCTCTTAACCAGCTGAGCCACTCGGCCGGCCCTGTAATAGTTCTTTATATACTTTTGATACTAGATCCTTATCTGACATGATTTGCCAATACTTTTTTCAGTTTTGTAGATTATCTTTTCACTTTCTTGATAATGTCCTTTGATACATAAAAGTTTTAATTTTGATGAAGCTTAATTTGTTGATTTTTTGTTTGTTTTTTTGTCTTTTTGAGCCTCAGTTGCCTCATCTATGAGACATGCTTCATCTGTCATGGGTGATGACACCCAGTGTACAGTGTGGTGGGAAAGAGCAGAGGGCAGGTTTCGTAACGTCCCTAGTTCATAGACTGATACTAGCAGACCCTCTGGAAATGACAGGAAATACTCTAAGGAGAGAGCTTACTTTTCATTCCTATTCCCATTGGAAGCTGTTTTGAATCCTAACTTTTCCACAGGAGTCTTGCCTATTTAGAATTGGAATCTGGCCTTTCAGGATAAAAATTTCAGAACTCCTATACATCTGTCTGACTCTGAGCTATAATGAAGATTGTATCAGTTCAGAAATTATTAAATGGCCTGTTAGTAACCTTTATTCACTTGTAATGTGTTTCATAAACTTATGATAGTTAGGGAGCCTTTGCTAGTTTGTTGTTTAAGTGAAATGTAGTTTGATTAAAGCTGTTGAGTCTCTTCATTTTTCCTATTGTAGTTGTGGTTTCTTCTGGCTCATTTTCTCTGTGTCTTTCTGTTTAAGTCTTTAAGAAATTAGATGTAGGCCTATTTTAAGGAACTTGTATAATTTTGCCTTCTAGGACACCCTTTTGGTGGTGTTTCTGTTTTCTTTCTTGAGCGTCTGTGTTATAAGTGTGGTAGGTGGACTCTCAGCATTTAATAATGGGAAGACTAAGCTAAAAAAATCTAGTGCAACAGCAGCTGGAGAGATGGGTGTATGACCTTCAGAGTAGGAAGGAGGTTCCCCCAGTGGTTGGGGGACATCGCCATTACCCATAACGCACGTGCTCAGTGGTGTATCTGTGGCTTCAGTTCAGCTCTAACTGCTTATGATGGGTTCATTTTGAAGGTAGAACTGCCTTTCCACTTTGAAATTCAGAGTCCCTTGTACTGAGTTGAGGTTATTAGCTCAAATGTTAATTATACTTATTTCTGATGGCTTTTTAGAAAAGTTCAACCTGTAGGATCTTTGCCATGCAAGTTGTTTTCTATATGGCTTCCCCTTCTCAGCCTTTAGCAGATTGGGGTGAGAGCGTATATCCTGATGTACTACCTGCTGCCTTCTTTCCCTTGTTTGTTTTCAGAGTAACCAACGGGTCGACCTTTATAAGTGGAAAGATGGCAGTGGGGAAGTTGGCACAACCTTACAAGGCCATACACGTGTAATCAGGTAGGCACCAGCCCTCCACACCTCCCTGGACTGTCTCGCTCTGTCACAGTCCTTTGGGGAACGAAATGAAAACACCGTCCTCCTTCCATGGCTTGACTGTCTGTGTTGCGTTGGCCCTGGGTGGCTGTTAGGCTGTTAGCTTGCACTTAGGTGATGGCTTTCATAGCAGAGAACAACTGGTACTCCGGAACCAGCATCATGCAGTGTTAACCCCGATCCCAGAAAACACTTAGACAGGTGCAGCCGGTCCAGAGTCAGGATTCAAGCTGATTTTTGCCGCAAGAGGGAGCCGAAGCTATGCCAGGGGACTCCGTCAGGTCACAGTCGGCAGTGCCCAGGAGTCCAGAGACATCAGGGAGCAGCCCTGAGCTTTTTCTCCGGCAGCTGTGGGTCACCAAATAGAACCACATCACAATCTGTTATCTAGATGCACAGTTGCCTTACGCTCGTGGCCTTCCAGTTGGCTTCTGGAGAGTTCCTTGATCCACCCTTTCCCTGGGTCATTGTGGGTGGGGAAAATTCGTTCTGGGGGAGTAGCAGCAGGGAGTGCAGGAGTGGTGAGGTTGGAGCTGAGAGGCGATGGGAAAGGCTAGACCCCCGGCCTGTGCTAACTGTGCGTGTAGTAACTGCCTTTCTAGGAGGGAGGGCGTGAGTAGGATCAGAGGCCTGCTTGCCCTCCTGGAAAGCTGTGTGGCAACTTGGCCACTTGCCACTGGTTTAAGAGATGTTGGGCTTACTCAGGGTACCTGTGGTTTAGTCCGCTTTAGAAAACAATAAGTTAAAAATTGCTTTGTGTTTTTGATGACAAGGGGAAAGACCTGAAAGTTTCCTGCAGAGCTCAGTTAAATCTTGTTCATTCCCAAAGAACTTTGGAGAATCTCAGCCTAAACCGTATTACGAGGCCTGTTAACAGTGACTTTCTGAAGTCACTAGAGACTAAATATGCTAGTGCTTTGGAACCAAACTCTGAATTTGTATCTCTTCATTGTTGCTCTGTTTATTTCTTGTGTTCCCAGCGACTTGGACTGGGCAGTGTTTGAGCCAGATCTCCTGGTTACCAGCTCTGTGGACACCTACATCTACGTTTGGGATATCAAGTAAGAACAATTAAGAGGCATAACTGCTTGGTTGTGGGACGATTTGGGACCTTCGTTTTTGAGATCAGATGTCTTACGTAGTTTGGTTTCCCCTCGATGCAGACCCTGAGACAAGGATACTTTGCAGATGCATTATTTAGGAGGTGAAAGAAACGTTGTAGGGGGATGGAGAAGAGAGACAGGATTAGGAGGGCCACAAATATCCACCTGGGTACCACTGTGAACAGGTGGGGCTTAGTATTACTGGGGACCACTAGGTGCTAGTGTGAAGCCCTCTCCTCAGAGGTGTCCTGTCCTCCCCACCCTGCGAGGGCTAAGGAAGTGAGGGTGCTGTTTACTGTCAGTCATTGGTTGTCCCCAGGGGCCTTAATCCCCTGGCACTTTAGTCTTGTCACAAAGGTTTGCGAAATGGGCTTCAGGAGCCAGGAAGGTCTCTTTGGTAAAGAAACACAGGTACTGGCATTTGGAAGTCAGGCTGGAGTTTACTGAAGTGTCAGGTGAGGGAGGGGGGATTTTGATGGCAGAGACGCACATCTGCTACAGCAGGCAGTGCTACGAGACACATCAGCTCAGCTCTTTCCTTGTTCTTTGTGAGTCTTCAATTCCCCATCTATAAAGGGGGGCTGAGAGCCACCTGGTAGGGTTACTCTTCATGGATGGAAGAGTAAAGCCCAGGTGCTGGGATGTTGTAAGTTTTTAGCAAACGTCTTTTCCCCTCTTCCTTTGTAGAGCAAAGTTCCCTTTACCATAGCAGTTAGAGGTGACTAACTAGAAGGTATAGTCTGTAGAGTCCCCTGGATGGGACACCCTATCCCCTCACGAGGCTGCTCTGCTCTGAAATGGCAGTTCAGTGGCTTTGTGATGTTTTACACTGGAAGGTGGACTGTAGGTAGAAAACAAGCCAGGTATTGAGGTATGACAGACCTGACAGACCAGTGAAAGGGAATAAAGGTGTGTACCTGACTTCACCTGCATTCCATACAGGTTAGCCTTTCAGAGGTGATTAGCCTAAAGGCAGTGCCAGAGGGAGGCAAGGAGCATAAAATCCTGGGAAATGGTAGAGAGAAGCTCTTAAACAAAGAAACAAAACCCCCAGGGAGCTATGGGGCAAGGTTATTCTTCATTTACATGAAGCAATTGTTTTCATAACTTAAAGGTTACTAGACACTGAACTGACAGTTCCTTTTCAGGTTTTCTAAATAGTGAGCCGGAGCTGTAGATTGACCTTGTCTGGCCCTCCCAGCCCTACCTTGCCACCCAGCTCTGCCATTTTACCATTTGTAGTGAATTGTGAGCCTCTTTCTCCAAGAGTCTCCCATTGTCTCCAGGAGTAGTTTTTTTTGTTTGTTTGTTTTTTTGTTTGTTTGTTTGTTTGTTTTTTAGCTGAGCCATCCTGCTACCTGTTGGCAGCTCAGCGGCTGCTCAGCTCGGGCTGGACTCGAACCGCTGTTGCTCAGAGCTCAAACTCATGAGCGAGCTCTTAACCAACTGAGCCACTTGGCCGGCCCTTTGTGTTTTTTTTTTTTAATTGTGGTTATAAAACAGAGAACATAAAATTTACCATCTTCACCATTTTGAAGTGTATAGTCAGTAAAGTACATTCTCATTGTTGTGTGACAGATCTCTAGAACGTTTTCATCTTGCAAAGCTATAACTTTGTACTCATTAAACAACTACTTCCTGTTTCCCCCTCCTGCTAGCTCCTGGCAACCACCACTCTGCTTTCTGTCTCTATGAAAAATGACACCTCTGGGGACCTCATATAGTGGAATCATACACTATTTGTCGTTTTAGGACTGACTCATTTGACTCAGCATGATGCCTTAAAGGTTCATTCATGTTGTAGCATGTGACAGGATATCCTTCCTTTTTAAGGCCTAATAATATTCCATTGTAGACCCCAGTTTGTTTATCTACTCATCAGTTGATGGACATTTGGGTTGCTTTCACCTCTGGGCTATTGTGAACATCCAGAGTAGTTTTTTCCTCCACCTTCGAAAATGCTGTTGGGAAGCTTCTTGCAGCATTATGCCTCCCCCCTTGACTGTCCCCTTGTTCCATTACGAGAAATGACACCAGAAGGTATGCATTTGGCTTTTCCGCTTCTACATCAGGGTCACCCAGGCCATGCTGAATCATGTAATTGGTTTTCTGTGGATATAGCTGTATGATTTGAAATTCAGACTCGGCCTCAATTGAAGTGACTGACAAAGTTCATCTACCTGGAGGGAGACTGATTCTCTTTACAGTCTCTTAAGGCCCTCACGTTCCCACTGGATTCCAAGTATCCACTGAAGGGAAAGTGAAGAAATGTGTGTACAGGTGGATGGTGGCATATGAATTGGGCATTTGATTTCTGACTTTTATATTTCAGGGACACAAGGAAACCTACCATTGCACTGTCTGCTGTAGGTGAGTGTATATTGCCCCCCGGTTTGTCCTCATTCCGTTCCTTCTGTCTCTCGCACTGACCACCCTACTCCTCATGTTTGATCATGGCTGGGTGGAATTGTAAGTTTCATATTGCAAAGGGCTTGCTTCAGGCTGCTCTTAGAAGTTAGAATCAGGACTGATGAATATGAATATGGTCAGGAACTTATTTCAGAATTCAGGGACAGGAACCAGATTGGTTTGTTTTTAAACTTGTTATTGTGGAAAATTTCAAATGTTTAAAAAAGTAGAAGAAAATGAACTGCCGTGTGTTCACCATCCAGCATCAATAGTTGTCAGTGTATGGCCAATCTTATTTCATCTTTACCTCTACTCACTGTCCTACCCCTGACCCCATTCTCCTTGGGATTATTTTGAAGCAAATCCAGGTATCATCATTTCATCAACAAATATTTTGCAGTAAGTATTTTTTACAAGAGAAGAATCCTTTAAAAAAAACATAATCACAATACCATTAATCTACCTAAAAATATTAACAATAGCCCTTTATTATCATCAAATATTTAAGCAGTATTCAATTCAAATTTCCCCAATAGTCTCTTTCCTCTCCCCCGACTTTTCCCTTACAAATTATTTGAATCAGAATCCAAGTAAAGTCCATGCTTGCAAGTGGTTCATATATTTTTAATCTTTTTTCATTTTATTTATTTATTTTTCTTAAAAGATTTTATTGGAAAATTGGGGGAGGGGAACAGTGTTGGGGAATTGGAACAACCAAGTTGTTGTCCTTCAGTCTTAGTTGTGGAGGGTGCAGCAAGCTCAGCTCCAAGTCCAGTCGTGCCACTCAGCTCAAGGTGCTGTGTTCAGTCTTAGTTGCGGGTGGGTGTAGCCCACCATTCAAACTGGCAGCCTTGTTGTTAGGAGCATGTGCTCTCACCAGCTGAGCCATCCTGATACCTGTTGGCAGCTCAGCGGCAGCTCGGCTCTGGGCGCAGCGTCACTGGCCTATGTGGGAATCGAACCGGTGACCCTGTTGCTCAGAGCTCGCACTCTTGGGCAAGCTTTTAACCAACTGAGAGCCACTCGGCCGGCCCTCTAATCTTTTTTTTAATTGGTAGGGTTCTTCTCCCTCTCCTTTTTTGGTTTATTTTCTGAAGAAACCAGGTGGTTTGTCCCATGGTTTCTCCACAATCTAGATGCTGCTGCTTGTGTCCCCATGGTGTCATTTAATATGGATGCACTGAGTCTTTGAAATTACTTTCTGATATACCTGTTGTCATTGCTCACAGTGAGTTGAAATTGACTATTTTGGAGATTCTGCATTGGGGCTGTTGTGGGGTTTTTCCACTATTTCCTGAGAGTTGAACTTGGGTGTAGTGCTGGTATACCTTATAGTGATGAAGCCCATTCATCAATTTTGTATTTTGGCATTTAATTTTTTTTTTTTTTAAGATTTTATTGGGGAATTGGGGGAGGGGAACAGACGAGTTGCTGTCCTTTTGTTCTTCAGTCTAGTTGTGGAGGACGT